GCCCGTGCCCCGGCCCGCCCGCGGGACCCCGCTGGGAGCGGGGCGGCGGTAGGGCCCGGCCGAAGGGCTCTTTGTCCTCTGCGGGCGGGATTTGTTCCCCTGGCTCCTGCCGCACCCCCGGGGGGCTCGGGGATGGCTCGTAGGCAGCGGCAGCAGCTCGTCAGCTGGCGGGTGCTTTTCCCACCTTCGCTGCCAGCGCTTTTGGGAGCATCTTGGTCTCTTCAGCCGCAGGGTCCGTTGCCAGCTATGCAGTAACCAGAACTGAGACACAGAAATGCTCCGACTTTTGGCTTTATCTGGAGACAGGCAAGTCCCCCCAGGAGCTCACCTCGGCTGGTAGCGTGTCTCAGCCCACAGGTACCTTCACATCTCTCCCTGCTGCTTTCCCTGGGCTTGTCACGCCTGGTTCTTCCCTGCTGCAACAGTTTGCTGTTCCTGCCTCGTAATCAAGCTGGTGACTGTGCCATTGCCAAAATCCCCGCGTAAGTGCTACGCTGGCACCCTGCAGCTGAGGGATGGGAGCAGGAGCAGTGCTCGGGCGGCCGGACCATCCCGCTTGGTTTCCTGGCTCCCACGTCTCCCTGTGCTCCAGACCCACCACCTGCACTGCAGATACTGGGCAGGGCTGGCAGCATGGGCTGGGAGTGCTTGCTTCTGCCTGCTGCCCTGCCTGCTTTGTGGATTCACAAGAGCCACTGTGAAGGGCTTGTTTGCTGGAAGAAGAAGAGGGTAGGGGATGGAGGGAGGCAGTAAACCCCTACAAACCTGTTGCTCTGTGTAGTGAGCAGAGCTGGAGTGGGTGGTTCCCATGGCTGCTGGCTACTTTCTCCCACTGGTAGCATAAGCTCCCAAAGCTGGGCCTAACTGAAGAGGCTTTAAATGCTTCGCGAGGGCTCAGTGGTTCTCTGCCCTGCCCCTGGCAAACATGTCAGGATAGTTGGGTCCAGGGAGCTTGTTCCTTCTGTTGCAGAAAATCTTCCCAGCCCAGAGGACAGAGAGAATATGGCATTGCCAGTGAGGAGAAACAAGTATGGGGATGTTGTGGAGTAGCCGGCAGGGCACTGCACCATGCCTGTGACCTGCTTCACCCCTCCCTGCCTGCCCAGCCTGCCTGTGAGACTGGTATGCCCAGGAGCTTGGATGAATCGATCCTGCAGTGCAAGCATGGTGGAGGCGCCATGGAGATTGCTGCCTCCTGGGTGGCCTCTGAACATTGCACATGGGAGGGTACAATAAAAGTCTGTAGCTGAAAGCACTCAGTGTGGGCAAATTGAAGGCTGGCGGTGGGACAGGAAGAGCTGGGGTGCAGGTGGTAAATGTCACCCTGAAGCAACCTCTGCAGTAAATGTTGGAGCAGAGCGCTCTGTTTCTTCTGAGGGCATGCATTGGCAATCCAACAGCACAGTGCTGTGAAATCACTGCAGGCAGGGATGGGCCTGGGCTAAGCTGTAAGAGGGCAGAGCTGCTGCTGCATTTCTTGAGCCCGGCCAGTCACCGTGTCCCTGCTCCCATAGCAGCAAGGATTTTCTTGCCTGCCTGCATGGGGCTGCGCTGAGCCGTTGCAGCTGCATTGCCTTTGGGGGTGTCTTGTTCCCTGCAAGGGGGGTGCACATGTACCCAGAGCCCTGCTGTGCGGTGCCCACCTTGCTCTTGGGACATGTCACCTGGCCAGTCACAGACTCCATTCAGATCTGTAGCCAGCCAGAAAAGGAATGGTGGTGTCATGAATACCATGCACCCAGAGGGGCATGTGGGAAGATTAGGAAGCCTCTTTCACTTCATTCATTCCTTATAGCAAACTCCAAGTCATGACTAGGGCACGCTGGCTGTGCTTGGTGGCTGTCCAGCGCTGATTCAGCTGCAGCTGAGTTTCTTAGAAGGGAAAACCCAGCCTAGATTCTGGAAGCTAACTGGTTTCTTGGAGCAGAGCAGCTTGAGAGACCACAAAGTCTCCTGTTTCAGAGCAGAGACAGTCCCTGAGCCTCACCACAGGAGGGAGTCCCTATGCTGAGGAGACAGGGGGCCCGGGGAGGAGGCAAGGCTTGGGAGCTCAGAACCCTGTGCAGAGAGAATGGGGACCAGGCAGTGGAACAGCTAAAAGCAGAGTGGCTGTGGGGAATGGGCAGGTTAAGCCAAGCGTGGTGTACCGGGAGCTCGGCTGAAGCAGGGGAAGGTGTTGGTCAGTGAGCAAACCCATAGAGCAGAGCTTGTGCCGCCTGCGAGAGCGAGGATGGCACCGAGAAACAGCAGCTGGCTAAAGCTGATCCTCTCCTGGGGGCCCAGAGGAGCACGGCAGGGCCAGAGGCTCTTTCCAGATGGGCTGGAGAATCAGGACGGCCCCATGCAGCTGGAGTGTGCTGTGGGGCCTCTGAGCTGCCAGTGACTGCATGAACAACCCTGCCCTGCCTGGGAACAAGACCCTGGGAGCAGAGGCTCCCAACTTGCTTTCCTTGTGTGGAGGCTGTGGCCGTGAACGCGTGGGATGGGGTCAGCTGGAGCACGGCCTGCTCACACCTTTGGGCTGACGAGCTCTGGTGCTTGTGAGACCTCAGCTTCACCACCATGACTTGTTGAGACTTCCACCTCCAAGTGGGCCTGATCTGCAGTGAGGTTTCAAGCCCATCTTGAGTCTGGGGGGCTTTTCCTGCGTGGCAGAGCTGTGATGGTGACTCAGCACTGGGCGGGCTGCGGGGGATTGAGACCTTCATGCAAGAGCCTGACCTGCAGTTGTGTCCGAGCAGAGCCCCTAAGTGGCTCTACCCCTGCAAGACAACCAGGATGGGCCTGTTGCTGATCAAAAGCCAGAGCCACAAGAGTGGCTACAAAGATTTATTTCTGATTATAAAAAACCCAACCAAACAAACCCAAACCTTCTGTGTGTTTGCACGTCCCTGGTTTTACTCATTTGGAAATGAAGGTTCATCCTCCCAGCTGCCTGACATGGGGTGATACAAGGCTCAAGTCCTAAAGCAGTACAAGGCCCCACTCCTGCAGCAAGCCCATCACCTTTGCACTGCCATGGCTGTGCACCAGGGAGCCACGGGGCCTTTTTGTGCCATTGATGGGGAACAGAGGATGCTCTGGCTGTGGCAAAGGCAAGACTGGCTTAGGAACCACAGGAATGGGGAAGGCACCATGTCTGGTTGATGGAGGGGGACCTGCTGCTCACTGCCCACTTCTGGTTGTTGCTAAGCCTGTGCTGAGGCCAGTAGAAGTCCAGGCCAAGATCTGGCCTTTGGGAAGCTCAGTGGGGTTTGTGTGTTGGCCAGGAAGGCAGCATAGGCTCTAAGTGATGCCCAAAGCTCCCTGGAAAGCAGGGCGGATGCTCCAGGAACAGGCTAGTGAGGTCAGCTATAAGGACTAGCATAATTAATACTCCATGCCCACCCCATTCACATGAAAATAAATCGTGCTCTTGTCTGGACTCGCTCGCCCAGTCTAGCCCAGGTCTGGCAGCAGAAGGGTGTCCCAGGTCTGAACATCCACATCCCAAGCCTGGTCCAGGATCCATCCCTGAGTAGCACTTAGAAACCCTTAAGCTGTTCTCCTGCATGGCCAGTGGTCCTCTTCTGTCCCCCCCTTTCCTGCAGCTTGAAAGCAAGGGGAGGGCAGAATGGGACTGCATTCCTTCTGGGACAGGCAGCATTAGGTATTGGAAGAGGACATCTCTGAGCACTTGCTGCATCCCAAGTGTTCAGGCCATGGAGACTCCAGCGGAAAGGATGGTGCTGGGTCCTGCAGACAAGACACACCATGTCCCTGCCATTAGATTGTGAGTGACTTGCTGCGCCGGAGCAGGCAGATGGCAGTCACCAGAGACGTCAGGGTGGTGACCACAAAGAGCAGGATGAGGATGACCCAGTAGTTGTACAGCATGCTTTTGTGAGATGAGGGCTTCTCCGCTGGGATCATGTTGGTGAGGTTCAGCATGTAGCCCAGGGCCCAGCCGATGGAAGTTTCTCCTGCCTGTGGGAACAGCATGGCATGGTCACCACCGTGGTCAACCCAGCTCCATGGCCATCAAGAGACCTTCCAGGGATCACCTCACTGTCAGCCCAGTGCAGGAGAGGGGTTTGGGGCAGTCCATAACACCCTGAGCCCTTGCTTGCCCATGGGTCCAGCCAGCCCAGGGACAAAGCAGTGACCATCCTGTGCTGAGCTGGGCTCATCCAATGGGAGCAGGATCTCATCCACTCAGGCCATTCCTGATCTTGCTGCCCACCCTGTAACTCGTGTAGGTGAGGAGACTTGGCAAAGGTGGGATCCTGCCCTGAGATAACTTCTCAACAGACTAGAGCAAAGAGTTTTTTGAGGTGGCTGGTGTCTTGAGGGCCAAGGAAGGACCTAGAGGACCTTGAAATTCCTGTCTTCGTGACCACCCTACAGTGAGCTCAGCTCATTTTTTCCCATCTCCCAGAAGATCCACCCAAAAACTGGGAGTCTCATCCTGGCCCTGTTCCCCAAGATCTTCCCTCAGATTGCTTGGCTCTTTTTTGGTATGGGATCATCTCTCCTGCAGGGCTTTTTGGCCTAACTCCAAACAGATGCTGTGGGATGAGTATGTGCTCTGGTGTTACTCACCTTCTTTTGGAAGGCAATGTTGGGGAAGGAATGGTTGTTGAAGTTGTAGCCTTTGGTGGTGAGCAAATAAACAAATATGCTGACAGCGCAGTAATCTGACAGCCTCTTCTCCAGCTTGGGGGCTTTCTGGAGCAGCTGGATGGGATGCATGGAGGGAGAGAGAAAAAGGGTCAAGCCAGCAGGGTCTGGGCTTTGTTTCTGTAGCCTGAAGTTGTGGGTGGTTGCATTTGGCTGGCCAAGGCCCTGCTCATACTTACCTGAGCCTCTCCTGGTCCCATGTAGGAGCCATCACACACCCTCCCCCTACTCCATGGGTGCCAGGACACCCAGCCCCCTCCAAGGGCTGCTCTCAGAGCCCAGGTGATGCCCCACACGAAGCAGCCCTCTCCTCCCCGCGGTGTCTCTGGAGCCCACCTCGCTCCAGCTGGTGGCACAGATGGTCTCAGCAGCATTCTTCAGGTCACTGGGCAAGTGCACGGATCTCCCCATCACTGTCTGGATGAAGTCCACTGTGTAGAAGAAGGCAGAGAAGGCCTGATGGAGGAAAGGAGGCAGCTGTGGGACAGGCTGGGAACAAACCCTCTCACACGAACAGCTGCTCTGACTGGCATGGCGTGCAGACGTGACTGCCCTCGCTTTGCCACCTCATGATGGCGGGGACTGGGGACACCTGCACACCCAGCAGCCAGGCCACCACCCCGCTCCATGCCAGGACTTACAATGAAGTTTCCTGAAACTTCTGGCTGGAAAATGCCATCAAAGGAGCAGCGGGAGAAGGAGCAGGTGGTGAAGTCGAAGAGCTTATTGATGTGCAGAGCGCAGAGGCTCCCGTTCCCGGTGCCAACCACAGTGATGGTGGTGTTGAGGGCAAGGCTTGGCCTCTCCTCCTCTGTGCAGGGGCTGTCATAGACGCTGCTCAGTGACAGGCTCTTGTGGTAGCCCGTGGGCCAGCAGGGATGGGGGACAGTTGCTTGGTAGCTCTCAGCCTGCTGGAGAAGTGATGCACGGGACTCGTGAGCTGTGCTGTGGCCCCGGCTTCCCCAGCGCTGCACAGCAGCCCTGGCATCGCCTGCCTGCCTCCGTTTCCCTGCTGGGGGGATGCAGAGGAGCTTGGGCAGCGGGATGCAGAGCTGGCAGTTGCCACAAGTGTCTCGAGATGACTTGGGACATGTCAGCTCTGGCTGAGGAGTACAACACCTAATGGAGAGGGTGGGAGGAAGTCCTGGGACCACAGGAGAGGGTCGGGAGCAAAACACAAGAGTTGTCAGGGAAAGATGTGCAGCCAGCCCCGTGGGGCAGTCCCAGAGCCAGGGCTGGGGGATAGCCCTGTACAAACACCAGGGTGAGGAGGCACCGTGTGTGGGGTGATGACAGCTGGTGTGCCTGTCAAGCACATGCTAGTACCTGGAGGATCTTCGAGAGCAGCCTCTTGAGGACCTGGTCTCTTCCGTAGCAGAGGAAGCTGTGGGTGTACACTTTGTACACCTGGCCGTACAGCTTCAGCATCACCTCGTTTCTGGGGTCTTCAATGGTGTCCCTGCTTTCAAAGGTGATCTGTGTGGAAGCACCCCCGAAGTCCAGGGCCCCCAGGGTCTTCTTCTGGGGCTGGATCCATTCCCCAAGCCACCCACGCTGAGCAAGGAAGACAAGAAGGGGTGTAAGGATGTGATAAGCTGCAGAACAGCCATCCCTGCTGGGATCCCCTGCCCACCTTGATGAAGTTCTCCAGGAGGTAGTTTGCAGTGACCCAGCCGAAGACCCCTTCTTCTTCCCCCGACAGGATCTTTGCCCCCCGGAAATTGAAGGGGTATGACTTCAGTGTGGCCTCCACGGCACTGAGGACGGCGTCTGAAGCCTGTGGGTTGGCGATGCTGCGGGCCAGGCGAGAGGGCAGAGTGGCAAGGCTGCACCGGGGTGCTGCCAGCAGAGCCCCCCGCCACTTGCAAAGCCCTCAGGGCCCGGCCCCGCCACAACACGTGGGGCTGGACATAGGTGGGTCCTCACCCAGGTACCTGTGGGGATGCCCCCCAAAAAACCCAGCTAATTCCCTTTGTCTCTGCCGGAGAGGGAGGCAGGCAGCAGGGATGAAGGTGAGCTCCCTCCTCCTGAGCCATATCCTTTGGCTGGGTGAGGGGGACACGACTCCATTCTCTGTGTGGTTTCCATGGGGTAATTATTCTCACTGCATCCCATCAGGCTGCCAATGGGTGCAGGGGGACTTTCTTCCTGGTTAGACAAAAAGACTGGGTGGGTTATCCTGATGCTGGACCCATGCCAGCCTCTTTCCACCCAGACATGTGCTGGCTGTGCCCAGCAGAGCATCTCCTGCTCTGAAGGGCAGGACCACCTCTGCAAGGGACATGGGGCCAGGCAGCTGGGAGGGTTAGAAGCTTCACCTGACAAAGGGGCAACACTGCAGCTGTCCTTCACCACCTCCACCCCTGCCATGGCCCCCCCCAGCAGGTTTGAGGCCAGGCAGCTGGCACAGCCAGAGCAAGCACTCACTTGAGCAGGCGCATGCCAGCTGTGGCACCCAGGTAGAGTGGGGTGCCCTCATGCTTCTCCTTGGGCACATCTCTCAGACCCTGATTGAGGCAGTGCACCAGGCTTGTCCCGGCAGCCGGAGGGTTGGAGCTGTAGCTGGAGATGCCGGGACCTGCAGAAAGAAAACAGCATTGCACCCTGTGGGGGGTGGGCAGAAGCTCGGTGGGCAGAAGCTCAGTGGGCAGCTTTGCCCCTCCCAGGCTTTTCAAAAGGCAGGTGCTGCATGTATCTGTGGGTATGGAGCCATCCAGAGTCCAGCCACATCTCCTTGCCCACGCCACATCCCCCACTGGCTGATGGCCTGGGAAAGGTTGCTTAAATGGAGGGTGGAAAACCATCTCTCGCTCCTCACTGGGCTACGCAGGGACCTGAATTGTTTCCTGGCAGTTCAACGCATGCCAAGAAAAGATAAACCACAGGCATGCATGGCTGCAAGCCTTGTGGGGGGAGATGGGCAAGGTTTTGGGAACAGAGCTGGGCCCCTTGTAACACCTCACTGTGCTGGTGAACACACAGAGGCAGCTGGACATTGCAAGGGCATTTGCACCATCATGGTGCCTTGCCCTCAGGGGATGTGACAAATCCTGCCACCAGCCACTGGTCCCCGGGGACTGGGACAGTCCTTACCCTCCACATCACACATGCTGTGCTCGCTGACCACCCCGGTGTCGTTCTCCTTGTCTGCAGGCCACTTGTAGATGAACATGGCTGTATGGGAGGAGCCGGCATCCAGCACAATGCCATACTGCAGGGGGAGGAGGCAGGGGGTCAGGTCCAGAGGCAGGAGACCCCCAGCTGCCCCAGGCCATCGCGAAGGAGGGCACTGGGGGTCAACAACCCGCCGTGGCCAGCCACTCCTGCCCTGGCAGTGCCCTGCCCAGCAGCTTCAAGAGCATTTTCTGGCAGAAGTGGCACCTCCCTGCGCGGGGCCCTGCCCAGGATGCGACTGGTGCTCTCCCCAGCCCGGGAACTGCCCCCCCCCGGGATACCGCCTGGCACAGCACAGGGACTCTGGCTCTTTGGGCATGGGGACCCCCTTGCTTCCTTGAGCACAGACCGGGAGGTTCTTCCCCTGCTGCTTGCTCCCATCTCCCCAGAGCATCCTCCTGGCCAGCAGGCAGCTGTGCTGAGCTGTGCCAGAAGGTCCCTGGGGCCAATGCAGGGGAGAGGGACACCTGGGAGTGGCCCCTCAGGGATGCAGCTCGCCAAAGAAAGGCAGCCAGGCACCTCATCCCTCCTGTCCTTGTATGGCTTGGCCATTCTCCGGCTATAAATAACCCCACTCCCTCCTGCCAAACAAGGTTACCCAGCTCTCAGGGATGGGCCTTCAGCCCTGCCGGGTGGACCCCTCTGCCATTTGCAGGCTCAGGGCTGCCTGCGCTGACCCCCTCCATTCCCCCACTGGAGCCAGGGCTGCTTCGCTGCTGGAGAGGAGGCTGCGAGTCTTGGGAAAACGAGACGGGATCCAGTGCTGTCCCAGCTGAGCACCTCTGCAGTGACACCGCTAAAGGCTTAAATATGGCTTGTGCAAAGGCTCTGTCTGCTACCTGCCCTGCCCAGACCTGGGTGGAGCCCCAGGGCTGGGGCAGCCAGCTCCTCTCCCTCCCCAGCACCCGGGAGCCACCCCAGCCCTGCCTGGTGGGTGCCCTGGTCCCATCCCTGTCCCTGTCCCTGCCAGCAGGCTCCAGCCCAGGTGGCTGCAGGGTTGCATTTGGGCCAGCTCAGGTAGCAGAAATAAAGTATCAGGGCACAGGCAGGGACGCCTGGGTTCCCTGCTTATAGGCAACCCCCATTCCCCCATGGTCCCCCACTAGCAGTTACCCCCTAGGGAACCATTTCCAGAATCCTCCAGCTCCCTTTAACTGTCAGGATCTCATCACATGCCCTGGGACAAAAGCTGAGCCAGAAAAGAATCCGCACCTGTGGCTAGACTGTGGTTTGTGTGCCACGGCACTGGTGTCAGGGAGCAGCTCCCAGATATGCTGAACCCTGCAGAGAGGGGGGAGCAGGACCCGCAGTCTGGGTGCTGGGGTCAGTGCCCCGGGCAGCCTCGGGGAGGCTGAGCTCCCACCTGTGCCCAGTGTGCTGTGGGCCGTGCACCCCCTGGCACTGAGCGTCCCCCCAGTCCTTCCTCACCATAGCACCCTCTGCCTCACCTCCCTGCCCCGGGGCCCCGTGGGCACCCTCTGCACTGCTGGGTGGGCAAACACGTGCCAGGCACAAGCACAAGCACTAAAGGATGCTGAGTCTGCCCCAGTGAAGCTGTCTGTCCCAGGGCATGCCTGCTGGCACATCACCGCTGGCTCCCAGCACCACAGTCCTCTTGGCACATCCTCTTCACTGTCCCAGCCCTTGCAGGTGGGTGCTGGTGTCCCCACGAGGGGTCCCTGGGCAGATCTCCCTGCCTGCCTCTGCCACACGTGTGCCCACACACCCTGCAGCCACCATGCAGATGTCCCTGGTGTCCTTGCAGGGCACCATGTCACCTCCACACCACCCCAGATATCGCCCCAGATGTCACCCAGATATCACCCTAGCATTAGCAGGGTGACAACTCTGTCCCCAAAGGGAAAGCACTGACAGGTCACCCCCAAACCCAAGACTGAGCACAGCTGGGATCCTGGGAGTGGTTCCCAGCCTGGGATGACATGGTGGGGGGCTGCAGCCCGTGGAAGGGGGATGAGGCTGGAGATGGGGATCTCTATGGAGTGCCAGGGCCTAAGAACTGCTGGAGCAGGAGGCAGGAGGATGACCCGCAGCACCAGGGACACCTGGTGCCACACACCAGGAATGGGAACAGCCCAGGAAGAGCAGCACTGGGGATGCCAGATGGACCCTGTGGCAAGAACGGCCACGGCCACACGAGCTTGGACACAGGGTGTGCAGGGCAAGCCCACAAGCCTGTATGGGGGGGGGAACCTGGGTCAAGGGATTCTCTCCTGCCTTTGCCAGGGCTGGCTCAGCTGGGCCTTGCTTCCAGCCCCACGGAGAGCTGGCACGGGGGCTGCACACGTGTGGGGGTTGCAGGTGGGGGGGTGTGCACACATGTAGGTGCACATGTGCATGGATGTGTGCACATGGGTGCGTGTTTGCCTGTGGGTACACACGTTTAGGTAGGTGTGCATGTGTGGGGGTGTGGGCACACTCACACTCACTGGGACAGCCGTGCTGCCTGCTCAGGCCCGGGGAAGGGCAGCACACATGGCTGCAACTGCAGCTCTGCTCCCCACGCGGGGCGGCTGGCAGCGAGGGGCAGCAGCCAGGGGAAGCCCAGTGGGGAGGTGTCGTGTTGGAGGTGACAGTGACATCACCAGGGCAGGTTGCAGAAATGTGGGTGCATCCCAGAACCCATTGCTGCCAGGTGTGGGGCAGCAAAAATGGGCAATGGGCCCAGGACTCATGGGCAAGGGATGGTCCATGGGACCCCCCAGCTGGTGGTGGCCCAGCCCTGGCAGTGGGAGCAGCAGCACTGAGGCCCAGCCAAGGTAACATGCGGCAACATGAAGTGCCACGGCACAGGTGGGAGCTGCCAGCCGCGGGGAGTGCCCGGCGCCCAGCCAGCTGCCGGTGCCATGGCTTGCTCCCTGGCCGCCCCAGCATGAGAGGAGCTGCCATGGCCTCATGCCACCCCCTCTGCCCCGCTCCCTGTCAGGCTGTCCCTGAGGAGGAGACATCCCTGGCAGTGCTGGTGACGATGAGCAGGGAAGCCGCATGCACAAAAGGGCCGAGGCAGACCTGGATGTCCAAGAGGGTCCCCAGGGATGAAGGAGAGGTCCCAGCCTCTCCTCCAGACCTGAGAGCACCCACACGGGAATTGGGGATGGGGGTCACCCACAGTGGGGCTGGGATGGTGCTGGCCCCTGTCCCTGTCCCAGCCCCTATGCTCAGGGTCAGAGCCACTGCATCACCCAGCACAGAGCAAGCTGCCGTGCAGGCATGGAGAAACCCCACTGAAAGCCCAACTTGTTAGTGATTGGCAGCATAAGCAGTGCCCTCGGCTCATGTCCTGTGCCTGCGGGAGCAGGGTGGAAGTGAGGGCTGGAGGGACACAAGGATGCCCTGGCACACTCCCACACTGGCATCTGGCTCCCATCACTGCTCTCATCTGCCCTGGCACACTCGGCTGACAGTGCCCCAGGGCTTGGAGGGGCCTCACACACGTGTTTGTGGCTCTGGCCCCAGCACACAGGACAGTGCCCAACCCCAGCATCTCCCAGTGGCAGAGGGATGAAGGATTTTTCTAACAGTAGGATCCCCTGTATAGACCCTGGTAATGCCACAGGGCTGGGGGACACAGGGGTCCCAGTGTGGGCCCACACCTGGACAGTGTCCCTGTGCCACCTGCAGCCCCGCTGCCTCCTGGGTCACCCACAGGCCCATGGGCTCTGCCCCACCACAGCGTCACTCAGCCCAGCCCGAGCCAGGGCTGCTCAGTCCCAAAGCCGCTGCAGAGGGGATGCAGACAGGGGTGATGTCCCCAAAGGCCATGGGGCAGTGAGGTCACGGGCAGGGCTCAGGGCTCCTGGTGAGTGCATGGCTCTGCCCAGAAATGTCCCACACCCCAAGGGAGGAGGCAGAGGGGGATGCTGAGAACTGCCCAACTCGCTGCAGCTGGCACCCTGTGGCTGTGTCTGGGTTGCCAGTCACCCACCCCACAGGCTCTCGGGGCTGCCCCATAGTGCAGCAGGGGCTCAGCCCTGCCCCACAACATCCCACCTCCCTCGAGGGGCGTGAGACTTGTGGGACTCCCAGGTCTGCAGTGGGTTACGACAAGTTTCCTTCCTGCCATGGGAGCTGCAGTTCCCCTGGGTTGCCTGGCAGGGAAAGAGCCCAGCTGGCTTTGTTAACGGTCAGTAAAGAGATTTGCCAAAAGACGGGAAAAAAAGGGTTGTCACGAGAAGGCAACAGCTCCGAGCCATCAGGCAGCAGTGCCATAAGCCCCATGAGAGGAGAATGCTCACGTGGGAAGGGGAACACCACACTCCCAGGATCAGTCCCTCCAGCAGCAGGATAACTAATCCAGGGTGTTTTTAGGGCTATGTTCCAAGCAAAGGAGCTGAAAGGGAAGACGTGGAGCTATCACTCAGCAACTGCTGCTAACGTGGACTGAGCCAGCAAGGACCACGTCTTGCTCAGGTGGGTGGGAGAATGTGCCCATGGTCCCCCACAGCAGGATCAATCTCCTCTAAATTGTGTTGGCATATTTTGGGCTGAGTCAGACTAAAACAAAGCTTTGCATCCCCAAAACATCCCTGAGCTTTGTGCAAGAGCAAACCCCTTGGCGCCTGCAGGCCCAGGCAGTGCTGGGACACTGGTGGGCAGCGCCTCAGCACACGCAGTGCTGGACCCCGCGAGCACTTGGCACATCCAGGAACAGCACAAAACCCCAGGTCACAGGGCCAGGTGGCACAGCCATGGGTCAGCGGGGCCAGGACCCATGTGGGGGTTTGGGGATGCTCAGCCTCAAATTGAAGTGCTGCCTGCAGACTGGAAGGTGCTACCACCCAGAGAGAGAAAAAGCACAAAACGCCCCCAAATTAAATTAAATTTCTGGGAATACATCTGGCTTAAAACCAAAGCTCCAGATTGAAACCAGGAGGAGAAAGGCTTCCCAGGCTGACCTAAGTGCTGCATGTAGGCCTCTAAGTACTGATCTGTCTAACCCCCCTGTGTCCCAAGAGACAAAATCCATTTTGAAACCAGCTATGGGCACTGCCCAAGATGTGCCAGCACATGGCAATGGGTGGAAAAGAAAGGTGTCACAGGAAGAGTTAATAAATAGCTTGCTGTATTTTAAACCAGCTCATTTTCTCAACCTAATCTTCATTACATCTGACAAACCCGGGGAGAAGACAACACATCTGGCATTCAGGCTGGCTCAGAA